AACAAAACAATGAAATGATTTTGTAAATGTGTTTGGGTAATTCCAAGTATAAGGAGCAGCATGAGAGCAAACACAAAAACAGTCAATGAAAATCTAATAAAAAGGCCATGAAAACTGGCATCACCATTTTGATAATTGGTGAAGGACAAGGAAAATGAGAAAGCTCTGCTGTGCAGAGATCTGCAAGTGTAAATATGGAGCTGGGGAGGGGGACGCAAAGGTGACAGAGGGTGAGGGGAGGTGTCTCTTGATGGCAGCCCAACTTAGCGCTAGATGTGGTACAGTTACACTGCAAACGTCATGGATGAGCGGGAGTGGTACAAGAACATTTATCATAGCTAAAGAACAGAGTATGGTAGAAACTGAAACACAAGCTAATGCACAATTTGTTAAAATTGCATGCGTTCAAAATAAGATGTGTTTGGACTTGTTACTGTTTTATGAATTTATATTTGCAAATTGTATCTGCAGTATGGTGTGTGCTTTATAAGTAGGGCCTCCACCCTAAAGAGTTTACATCTGAAATTAGAGACTTGTATAATCTAGCATGTGTGATCTGATGAGATATATGTCCAGAATCCTTATGCCTGTGCTGAATAGGAATACTTGAGCTAATTATGAGTGGAAGAAGTCTAATTGTAGCATGGGTCATTCACTTTGGCAAGAAAACCTGCTTTAAGCAGTTTAATATGGATACAGTGCTTCAAAGTATTGTCTTCCTATGCAGTAGGCTTAGAACTTGTTTGATATATGAAAGTCTTTCCTTTGTTTTTTTCAGTTAACTTGTCAGAAATGAGGAGGAGATGGCAACAGAGACATTTTGAGTAACTTGCCCAGCTTTACATTACCTGCTATTGAAAAAGCCTTGTCCTGCATTCCTTACACATTACACTTCCCTTTGATTCTGCAGAGTATTCAATTATTGCGAGAGTTGTCTCCCAGGCAAAGAAGGAGGGAGTGTTACTATCCAAATTTGCAATGTTTTTTTATGCTGTTCGACACCTTCCCTTAAAATTTCATCCCACTGGAACTATGTTCAATGGGCTCCATGACAGCTATTTCAAAACTCCAAAAGCTCATCATGATTTTATACCACAGTAATCTTATCAATGAATGGACAGAAGGACAGCTCCCCATACTCTGGATTTGTCAGCTTTTAAATTGTCACATCCAAACACGTCCCAGTGGATAATGTCCTTGAGAGGGCACAGCATGCCTCAGGTTTCCCAGATCCTACCCTCTGTGTTTCACAATCTCAGATATGTGCCATTTATTTCTTCATGGATGACTGTTCTGTCAGCAGAAATGAACAGGTACAGCAAACTTTGTGTAAGGAATATTAGCAGACACTGGAGGAGTTGTACGCTTTAGCCACAATATAGTTGTAATGCTTCTACCACTTCACTGCAGTTGCACAAGACTGCCAGTATGCATCACTAGAAAATGCAAGAAACACCAGGGTGATCAGGCTGTGATTTATTAGGAAAGCTAATGAAAAAAGTTACAAAACCTGAAGCAATATAAACAGCTGGGGGGGGGAGCAAACTCTTTAAAGCCTTTCATCCCATGCAAACTTTTCAACTCATAGACTTTGGTTCCACTGCCAAGGTGGGCGGCACTCTTCATATTCTGATTTTTTACCTTCTCAAAGCACCCTGAACCCTTCAAAAATCCTAGAACTGTTTTTAGTGAGTAACCTATATAAATTCTAAGTAATAAAATAAAACAAAACTTGTCCGGGAATAAATTATGCTTACAATACTATGGATTGTATTTTTAGCACAAGTAGATTTCCAGTTTGTTGTGCTCTGAAACATAAAGACAATTCTGCTCACTATATTGTTCAGCCAAGCAGTCAAAAGACCTAAAACTGTCCATAGCAGGATGAAGCTGTAAAATGCCTTTGTAACTTCCTTGCTATTGATTTCACTACGTAACACATGATGGGATTGGATATCAAACAATTTCCAGGCTTCCAATAGGGACCAGACAGTGCCCTGGAGCAAGTATATGCGTGAGGGCAGAAGACACTGGTGCTGAGGTTAGTGGCACAGGGGGCCCTGCTCCCTCCTGCCTCTGAGAGCTGACCTTCCTTCAGAATGAACCCCAGTCTGCCTGTGGGCTGGGGAAAAAAGCTGCATCGGCTGCAAAGCGGGCAGCGCGGTGCTCTGCTCTGCGTTCTTGCAGAACTGAGCCAGAAGCTCCACTTCCTCTGCACCTTCCTGCCCACGTAATACGCCTCTTCAGGGATCCTTCCCGAAACAAGGTGAGCAGTCAGGGAGATTCTTTACTCCAGATTTAGAAAGGAAATTTCAAGGAGTGGATTCTATATCCTCTATCTACTCATCCTAAAGAAGCCTCCAAGTACACTATTTACTCATGCAGTATAGAAAAAGACCAACTAGCTCCAGGAGCAGAGGAACTAAGTAAGTCTGGGCTCTGTGGATTTATGTCCTCTTGTAGGCTCTCTTGTGGCTAAAATGAAACATTTATCTCCTTGGGGATTAGTCTTTTGCACCTTATCAGCCTTGCCTTCACTGGGGGCACCAGTATGGTCGCTTTTCTCTATCTCACTGATTTTTTTGATTAAGCTTTCAGGCATACAATTCCTTTGAGAACCTCCGCCTCTATCCAACTTGGTATTTGTTTTAAAGTTTTAAAATTATTCAAAAAGGTAGGGCTCCCCATGGGCAGATAAAGTGGGCATGGCTTCACTTCTTTAGGAAACCAAGCTCTTAGAAAAATCAATTTTTAAATACTTGATATTCTATAAAGTGAATGGAATAGAGTTTATTTATTTCCTTTGAAGCATAATGTAAAAGATTTTCTTCAAGTCAATGTGAGTATCATTTAATCTAATTTGATAACCTGGAGAAGGGACTGTGTGCCTGAAAGCTTATTCTCTTTTTTAGCTATATGAGCTGGTCTATTATACTACTTTATTTCTCCCTTCAGAACTTGCTTCTTGTCTAATTAGAGACCCTGGTGCACTCTCATTAAATCTCTCAAGGAGTGTTATTGCCTGAGGAAGTCCTGAGGCCAGTGAACTAGATTCAGATTTATAATAGGCACATGATTAGATTAAACTAGCGGGAGAATTCAGTATGTAACATACGCATGCAAATGTTTATAAGGGTATTGATCTGAAATGTTACATTTTTTAACATTGAATTGTTTGGTTTAGAAAAATAATGTTCCCATTGTTGTAGACTTCTAAAAATCTTTCTTGGGACAGAAGATGATATTTTATATTGAGCCTAAATCATCAGACCAGGCAATGACAAGTCTAAGTACTTGCTCTCCTTTTAGAAATGTAGTCTCAACATGACTCAGGATCTAGCCCATGGTAATTACTGTCAGTATTAATAACAGCTTCTGTTGAGAAACCTTCCTTTGTTTACTATTTCAGCAAATTCACCTGATGATTTTTTGTCTTTGAATAATATATGCATGAGACAACAGGATACGTCTGGGTGCTTTTCTTGCTGTTTCACCCATCTATAACTTGAAATTCCTGCCTGGTTATTAGTAAGAACTAAATGTAAATTTCTTATGTGAATTACTTGGCATAATCATTTTGTTGCAGGAGAAAGGCTCACAAGCTGACCCTTGCCACAACTTTTTCAGAGTGCATAACTGGGAAGTTCATTTTGCCAAGGGACTGTTGAGGCACAGAGTGATGAAATGGCTTGCCTGTGGTCAAAGATTGTGGTAGATGTAGGAGAAAAAAAATCCAGCTATCTAAGCAAACATCCTAACCACTGGAGCATCCTACCTCTGCAAGGATTGCTCAAGAAGGCAGAAATAATTGGGCTCGATTTGCTGGGACTGTATAACCAGTAATTAGATGGTCTCTGTTCTCTTGCTTTTGAAAGAGCAAGCCCTATTAACTTTTCAGCCTTAGTGTTTAAACTGTTTTCATGGTTGATACAGTTCAATTAGTCTTCTAGTTATCCATCCTTCATTGCTTTAACGGCATTCAGAATACTCATTCACTCCTTCATCAATCAGGGAATCTGAACAGAAATTTCATTTGGAATTTTTTTCTACAAACTGTAATAACAGAATTAGCAATTTTGTGCCACATGTCAAATTTAATCAAACCTAAATTTATCGGTAACAAAATTTCAGGTGGCTTCAGTACAGGCAGGACAGGATCCATCAAGATCTATAAAAACATGACCAAGGAGCCAATCCCCCCATTCCTCCCCTTTTTATCCCCCACCCCAAAAACAACAGGGATCAGTGCTTCACTGGACTGATCCCATGCTGGCTTCCATCGCTCTGCTCTTGGCTAAGGATAGCAATCCAACGGTGCAGAAACAAAGAAATCGGTACATGGAAATCTGTAACAAAAGGACATCAGACCTATGCCTTACACACAGCTCTGGATCTCAGCTTTGTCTGTGTCTTGATGAGGAGCAGATCCTGTTTGTTAAAATCTGTTTGGAGTAATTGGTTCTAGAATGCAATAATACCTAACAAGTATTTCAGACTCATAGGTTCTCTTGTACATAACTAAGAGTTAAGCTCTAAAATGACTATATTTTTACATGAGAAATACATCCATGGAGCATTTATTACGAAGCAACATTTTATCTCTTGCTTTTCTTGCTGAACAAATGACTTGGCTATTTTATGTCTTGACAAAGTAACTCGATTTAAGCATTTTAAGCACTGCTCACCTATTTTGTTTCCACTTCCTAAAATTCAGAAGCTCAGCTCCACCTTTTTCATCATTCAACAGCCACACTTCTGAGCTGAATAACCCCGAATATACAATCACTAATAAAATGCTGCAGAGTAGTATCTCAGAAGCATTTGCAGGTATAACCTGCAGAGCAGTATCTCAGAAGCATTTGCAGGTATAACTATAATATTGTCAAAGTTCTTTATAAATATTTACTTATAGGAGTTCTCCAGAATCCAGTATTTTCAGATTTAGTCTGTCCAACAAAATATGTTGATTAAAGTTCACCAGAATTTGATGACAGAAATTCTTAAAGTGTTTCGATTTCCTTAAAGATTGTAGAAGTCTCCTTTGATCTGCTGTAGTGTTTTGCAAATGTGGTTAGTCTTTGGAGAGCTTCTGACAAACCTTCTCCTGTGATAGCACAACAGGGCTGTACATACCAATTTCTGTCACTGCAGTACTTCTTCATGTTGAATCTCCTGGTTATTTCCTCAGCGTTCAAAGCTCCAGGCAAATCCTGCTTGTTCGCCAGCACAACGACTGGTACGCTTTTTATAAATTCATTCTTTAAAATGAGTTCAAATTCTTTCTTTGATTCTTCCAGCCGTTGCTTATCAGAGCTGTCCACAACATACAGCAGTCCGTCTGCGTCTTCCAGGAAATTGCACCAAACCTGTCTCATTTTCTGTTGCCCTCCAACATCCCAAAACGTCAATGTAAAATCTTTGCCGGTTTCAATCATATCAACATTAAAGCCAATTGTTGGAATTGTTAGAAAAACATCGTTATACTTGAACTTGTACAACAGTGTAGATTTTCCCGCAGAATCAAGTCCTAACATCAGTATATTAGCTTGCTTGACTTTGGAGTGTTTGGTGTTCTGGAGGCCCATTTGTGCCACGGTGGTCTCTAGTAAGCCTTTAAAGCTGGAATTCACTGTCTTCTGTGAAGCCAATTTTTGTCAGTGAGGTGTCTGTCTTCCTCCGTGAGATGAAGCACAAAGAGTAAGGAAGAGGAAGGGGAAGAAGCAGCTTTGCACTATGAAAAGTAAGTAAAATCTCTGGACAAATACATGCTGGCTTTTATCAACTTGATAATATGCAAACAGTATTTACGAAGGTGTCATGTTCAATGCCAAGCCTGTGGGTGGAACAACTATGAGTAACGTACCAATTGGTCATAAGCACAAAGGTTATAGTCTTCGAACATGTTTGAACAATGAACCACACTTCCATGACCATTTAAGAACTCCTTACATTGTAAAATTGTGTGTACTGAACCAGCAGCAGCCTGGTTATACTGCCTAATCCCATGGTCCAGGGAACCGCTAACTGTCTGCCCCGTTCCAGTGTGTGCCCAGAGATAAATCCCTTTGTTACTGCATCTGCATCCATTTTGGAAAAGAAACAAAATAGAAACACAGCCAGTGAAGAGGGGAGATCTTAAGGTTTGTCCATACTTACCAATCTACAAAATGAGAAGGTACCTGATTTATCGGTGCATCTCGTCTCCCAGCAACAAATTAATCTCAAGTGGTTTCTAATGTGAGTCTACATGGGCACAGGGACCCAATCAAACCATAAGAGAACTCCACTTAAAAATGTGCTCTGCTTTAACTGGCGGCCTCAGGCTCCATCAGTTACTCCTCCTGCCCACTCATGCATGAAGTTGTCTGCTTTGATTACGCTGTCTGAGTTGTAAACTCTGTGAGTTATGTTTGTATGAACAAGTTTAACTGCACTCTGCATGACAGAGACTAAATATAGATCTTACGATCTGGTCATTACTGAGATTCAGCTACCTGAAAGTAAAAATTTCTATTAGCTTCATTATGCTCTGTTCTGTTGTTGCCCACTGATCTATGACCAAGGTAGGAACAAGAAGGGGGGAAATAACCGAGTCTCGATCAAAAGATCATTTTTTTGCCAGCATTCAAACGAGCAGAATAAAGAAAGGGGAGATAGAAAATTTAGTATAATATTATTTAATTCATATCGAGTCTCCCTTTTTTTGAGTTAGTAGACCTACCTTGGGCTGGTCCAAAGCATACCGAGTATTGCAGTACTTATTTGCCCTTATACCCAGATGCACTAGTATTAGTTATTACCATTTGTCTTTGCTTCAGAAAGTACATAATCAGCAAAAAGATTTAAAGGTCTTCTGGCCAAATGAGCTGCTGACTGATAGGGTAATCATTTTGATAATTACGACATTGGTTGCTCAGATATTACACATGTTGCGTAAAATAAACCTCAGTCTTGACAGACAAGTTATGATCTGGTTTCTCTTGAAGCTAAAAGGGTTATACCAGAACTAATTGGGGGCAACAAAAGATGACAGTGACATACTCACTGTTGTATATTTTTCATATTTAATAACATGTATAGATTATGTATAGGATTTTTTTCAGGAGCGGGTCACGATGTATTAAACCAGGGAAGAAAGTGTTTGCATTTCTTTATAAATAATGTACATGAATGAATTGAAAGATAGGGAGACAGGAAACTGCAAAACACATTGTTAACACAGTCAAATGAATCATAATTCCCTGCAAAATAGCATGCCATTTCCTTGAAATATGGTTATCTTGATCAAGGGCAAAACCTCCCTCCTGTGTGAGCAGTGACAGAGTGGATGGATGGTCTGTGTCCCTGGGTAATGCTGCAATTTGAAGATTACTCACAGTTCTCTGCTCTGTATGTTTGCTCCAACTGTATTTGATATTTATAGTCTCAACTGTTACTGCATCAGACTATCACTTTAAAGAAGTGATTAAGCAATGTCTGACTTTTTACAAGCTAATTATTTCCAGGACAGAATAGCTAGCTTCTCAAGACTCCATGGTTTTGCAGTTTTTAACTGTACCCGACTCAAATGTGACTTTGGTTCAGAGCAAGATTTTGTGATGCTAAGCCACTTCCAGTGATGATTTCCCACCTTACTTTGGAGTTTGTATACCAGCATGAGATCAAAACAGAGCCGTAATCAGCTGCAGAAGATACAGCACGATGCAGACTTCTGCTTGCAGGTTCTAAATCTACATTTGCACCGAGAGGCAAGCATTTGAAAGAATGAGAAATCTACCTTTGATTTGTCCAAAGGTGTATTTGCTTTGCTGGGGTGAGGCTGTCTTGCTTGTGTAGGGTTTGCCTGTATGTTCAGTTTAAAAAACCCAGAGTAATAAAACTGAACTGGGACAGCTGATTTTCCATCAATTATTCTGAACTCAAACTTTGCACAATAAACCGTTCGTAAACTATGTAGGTTCCCAAGTTGTGCAAGCAGGATATTCCACCACAGCTGCATGCTTTTGTAACGTTACAAAATACAATTAATGTAATAATTTAGGGAGGCTTGAGGGTGAATCCTCACCATGATCAATTCTAGTAGCTGAAGCAAGAGAACAAGTTCAATTTGAAAACGCCTGTCTCTTCTTCCCTGGAATCCATAAACGTTAATCCCACACCTCACTATGCTGTGATTTTTAAAGAAGGAACCAGCTGGAGCCCTACGAGGACTGTCAGGAACAAACCCAGCGCCAGACCGTGCTCCAGGCGAAGGCCAAGAGGCCACGAACGCCATTTGCTATGCCCTCCGGCCGCTGCGAGGCCCGCCGCGAGCCCTGCGAGGAGGCGGAGGAGGAGGCGGGTATTTCCCGGTGCCCGCCGCGGCCAGCCGCACCCT